ATTATAGCAGTGAGTATAGATGATTTTGCTGTGTAAGTGCTTAGGTAGAAATGGTAATAATTGGATGAGCCATAAGACATTACACCAACACGGACACTATCACTGCCAACATTAAAACTATTAACAATGTTATAGACAAAGTTTTTCATGAGTTGAAAGTTTGAGGATCTAACACTACCAGATGCATCCATGACAAAATATAAATCAAGCGCATTTACACTGCAATCTATAATAAATAATAAATACATTCTAAATCAGACTATAGCACCTTACTTTGCAAAACCAGTAACTGATTAACAGCGGTCACATAATCTGACTGAGTTCCACCAGAACTTGTAAAATAGTTAGCCCAATATGTTCCCTGACCATTAATGTTAGATGCCAGTGGAATTGATTGCGTGATGACCAACATATAGAGTCGAGCAGCAAGAGCAGAATAAAATGGCTTCCTCAGGTCAGTCCAATTAGTGGTGAGCCAGACTCAGCCAGTTGATTCCAAAATTAGTGGAAATTCCCTGTACTTTTTGTTGGAGCTGTGAGTTAGAGCCAGTGTTTTTAGTAGCATTGTATTTAGTTTCTCCATATCCCACCATTGGACGAATATGTGTCATTGTTGGCTCCATCTCTTGTCTCGGCGTAAGCGATGCGCCGCAACATCTGCTGATCATTATCTGTGAAGATTGATGAACGGGCTATTTTAGCTATGCTTGCTTCTACAATAGTCGATCCATTTGTTCCTTCAACTAATGTAAAATCAACCGTGCAGTTTACAGGACAGAATAAGGAACAAAGCCATGTAACAAGGACAATGGCGTAGCCGCATTTCATTGCCATTATCTTCAAGATGAATAAGTCGAAACACTGAAAAACAGTGTTTATTTTGATAAAATTGCCGGCCTATATGAATAAACTCCTTTGGTTCCAATAAGTTTGTGAATATCATTTTTCTTTTCAGTAATCCATGAGTGATCTCCCCGCACCGCCGTCATGAAAAAGGAAGTGTATAATCATAGATACTACATACACACATGGATATGAAACAGGAAGTCGGTATCCAATTAACTCTTTGAAGTTCACCTGTAAACGTCATAACCAGCATGCTCTATCCTTGGCGCTTTTCTCTCTGTCTATGTTTTCAAGAATTTTCTTGACTCACTTATTTTTGTGAAAGAAGGTATATAGGTGTTTTTGTTTTGTTCAGTAGACCTAATAAATATATTCTCATTTCATTTTGTCAACAGGCCTCATGTTTACATGACAAAATTAGAAGACCTCCATTTTTATTTGTAACCACCTTTTCTAGACTCTCGAACGGAGTTAGCTAGTAAGTCTTGGAATCATAATAGTGTATTGTTTGTTACATGGACTGAAACTATTCTCGTGTCAATGTAATGAGAAATGACTGAGATAATAGCCAAAAACTAGTTTTTTTAATATTAATTTTGTAACCACCTTTTTGAGACTTCTGCACCAGGTATGAACAAGTTACTACTTTGAGTGTATTCATTAAGGCCTCTTATATAGACTGTTTATGGTTTCATTTTTCTAGATGCTATGTTTCAAAAGTAATAATATATTT